AACAGAAAATTTCTGGCTGTTAGGAACTGAAACTTTCTTGATTAAATCACTTTCACGCCCTTCAGTTGCAGTAAACTGCTTGCAAAGACTCCATGAGGATTCCTTTCCGTAGGGCTTTTCTATGCAACAATTCACCCCTCACAGAAATTCTGCTCTTACCCTCTTCACCGAGGGCTTGCTCTAGAGGAACACTTTCCTGAGCAACAACAGACTCTTTCTGGGTCTCCCTTACATCCAGAATTACCTCTGGCCCATCCGGCTGATTCCTCCACAATCCCCTTTCAGGCAAACTTACAGACTTCCTAGAGAAAAGGTCAGACACATTCTCCTTCCCTTTGCCACACACAAGTTCAGGAATCTTTTCCTTCTTGCTACAGGTTTCCACACCCTCAGTAGGTAACACAATCAAATCACCTTTCTGCTCTCCTTGTGCCCTGGCTAGGATCTCACCCTGATTAGACAGAGTTGCTCCACCCTTTCCCAACAACACACTAGCAACAGGCAAAATACAAGCACCAGAATTGTCTGCTCTCTGGGATTTTACATAGACACTAACTGGATGCGACCTAGTTACAGGGCCATTCTCCCGAGCAGACACAAACTTAGGACCCTTCCCTTCCTGGGCTTTAGCTGAATCCAGAACCAACTCTGAGACAACTGCACGACCCTCAACCATCACAGGCTGAAAGGCCCCTTCTGTCTGCTCCACAGACAAAGAAGAGCCAGACACACTTTTTCCTTTCCCAGACACCCAGCTTGGGATCTCATTCCCCTTGTCCCAGCACACAAGGCTGGTCACAGACAACTGCTTGGAGATCAGGGTAGCTCCCTCCACAGGCAAGTCAACACCCCTGACAGACACGGGCACGTTCCCTTCACTGTCCCTATTCTCCACCCAGGTAACAGGTAAGGTCCAGGGACACTCATCTTCTACTCTCCTCGCCTTCCCACCCTGCTGACTAGACTGTGCTTTGGTGAACTTTCCAATGCTCAACCCTCTCTTTCTGCACAGGGTTACAATGTCCTTCTTAAGGAGACGGTGACAGGCCCTCACTCCGCTCTTCCCAAGTTGTTGTGGACTCACAGGCCTGTGTGCTCTCAGCTCCCCACGGTTTCCAGGGAGAACCCCTAGTGTGCCAGCCCTTCTCGAGGTCACCACCTCTTTGCCAGGGTCGAGCTGCAGACTCCTCCCCCCTGGGACTGCTCGCTGCAATCCCCCGGGGGACCCTGTTACTGCAAAAGTCCTTCTCTCTCCCAGGGCCAAGCCGCAGGCTCCTCCGCCCCTGAAACTGCTCACTGCAGTCTGCAGGGGGACCCCAACACTGCACAGTCCTTCGTGCTGGTCACACACTCCCAGGGGTTAACCGCCCCCTAAAATTGCTCCTCTCTGAGCCTTCAGCACGCCTGGTCCTTGTCAGTCCCCCTTCGTTTTACTGCTCCCCCGTCACTTACTGCAGGAAGCGCCGTACATGGGGTGCAGTACATCCCACCGCTCCCACCAGTTGCCACGGAGTCCCTGGGCAATGCTCTGGAACTGCTCCCCATGCCCACACCTGCCCTCTAGGGCTCTGCAATGATCATCCACCCTTATCCCACCACCTAGATACTTAAGAACTGCATAGGGGAAACTGAGGCACCCCTACACTATTCAGAGGAAACATTAAGAACAGTCCCACTTCGTCACACGGGCCCATAGTGAGGGGAATGCAGATACTGCTAATACAAAAACGCAAGCTGCAGAATTGTGCTTCTCTTGTGCGCCGCTTGGGGGAAGCACTCCCCCAGACAATGCAGCACAAGGCACCAGAACAGGATCTAGAGACAGGGCAAAAATATCTGTCATCGGCTATCAGATCTGTCTATCCATCTACGATCATGTGTCCATAAAAACTGGGGAGTCTTGAATATTCACATATTTGAATGTGGAACCTATCTGTCAGTAGAGTAAAAATGCACACTGCAGAAGAGGAATATTTGGGGAATCGATTGTTCAAGGTGTCATAACTAGGACTTGGATTTCAAAGGTGCCTAAAATCCTATTGCAGTTTGTTGGGAAATAGGTACAAAGGCTCTCAGCTTCCTTTGAAAAATAACAAAATGCAACAATAGTTCTAACACTCTCTTGAAAGGAGACACCAGGTCCCAGACACCTCTGCCATCCATACAAACACAGATTTTCCCATGATGGTGCCCTGGTCCCTAGCCGGCTACTCTTCTGTCTAACGGCCTGACCCACAGTCCGCTAAAGCCAACAGTGGGTCTTTACGTTCCCTTCAACAGACAGTAGTTCAGCCCTTACATCTGGAGGGATGTGACTCCAGTCCCTTCCCGGGATCCTGTGGGACCCACTTCATATCGTAGCAGCACCTGCATGGGCTGGATCAGACAGGAGCCGGGAAAGGGGCTGGAGTGGCTGGCGCTGTATCACCACGAGGGGAACAGCAAGTACTAGGCCTCCTCCGTCCAGGGCCGATTCACAGCCCCCAAGGACAGCACCGACTTCTGCCTGCACATGCAGAAACTGAGAGCGGAGGACACCGCCACGTATTACTGTGCCAGAGACACAGTGCAGGGAAGTGAGTCTGAGCTCAGACAGAAACCTTCCCCTGCAGTAACAGCAGCCACCGACTGCAAGGGACAGGCGATGAGAGCAGCCCAGAGAAAGTCTCCCAGGCTATTAATAGTTGCAGACTGGTGTAGTTTCATAATCAGTTTCATTCACTCCCCCTTGTTTGTATTAACTCAGCTGGCTATTAATTTCATCGGATGACCCCTGGTTTGTGTATTTGGGGAAAGGGTAAAGAACTGCTTCACTGCTTGAACCCACCAGGCCGCGGCTTCACAGTGCCAGAGCTTCAGGGGCTGGGGAATGAGGGGTTTGAAGCAGGGGAGGTGAGTAGCCGCATTCGCGTCTCCTCCTTTTCCTAAGGGACTGATCAATTCAACTTCGGATGGACTCCAGTTCCCAGCATGGAGCTCATGGAGGAGAGTGACGTACTAGCGTGTTTGGCAAGGATTGAGTGACTGTACCTTTAACACATGACACTGCCTGCCACTTGATCAAAGCCTTGGGAAATTCAGATATCTTCCTTAGCATACAATACTGGGGCCTCTGTCATTGCAACACCAAGTTTCCTACTGTGCACGTAGGGTGAGCTTTTTAAAGGGGACTAGTTATTTAATATCCCTGGGTTTTCCTTTGCCCCTTTTGAGGCAACTTAGAAGAGACTCGATTTTGAGAAGTTGGGCGGTCAGCACCTTCTGGTTATAAATCCCGGTAGAGGTGCAGCAATATGGGTATCCAGGCATGGGGCACTCTGGCCATTTACGTTACATATTGAAGGAGAGAGAACAAAGAGAAATGTCTTTACTTTTATAATAGAGAAAGAAAAGGGGTGTTAATAGGAGCAACACTAAATACTTTTTTCCCCACAAAATAAACAATTAACCAGGGACACTCATGCCATAAGATGTTGGTTTGTTTGTGGTGGCCAGAAGTACAAAAAAAGAACTGGAAACATTCATGGAGGATCTATGGCTAATAGCCAATAGTGCCAGGGACACAACCCAATGCTCGAGGGACCCTAAATCTTTGATGCCAGAAGCGGGGAGCGGAAGATGGGGGTGGATCGCTCGAAATGTCCCTGTTCTGTTCACTCTGCCTGAAGATCTGGTCCCGGCCACTGACGGAGACAGGATCCTGGGCAAGAGAGACCATTGGTCTGAACCAGTACAGCAGCTCCGATCTATCTAATGTATTTAATCTATTTCTCTAGTTACGGGTCTTCCTCCTTGTCTTGTCTCCCCAGCCCTAGACAGTGTGACCGCTCGGGGAAGGAGTTGCTGTTTCTTATAATGAAGGGGATATGCAAATATGTCAGTTTCCAGTTTACATCTGTCCCTCTCTCTGCCCAGGCTGCATCCGGAGACACAATCCACAGCCCCCTGGGTCTGTGCAGTTACCAGCCAGTCCCCTGAGAACTTTCCCCTCCAGCACCCGGGAAATGAGGCTTTGGTTCTGCATAGTTTTCATTATAGTGGCTTTGGAAGGTAATTTCTCCCCCTAAACGCATTGCAGTGGCAAAGGAAGAGTCTATCGTTACTGTGAGTACTCAGATGATTTATGAGCAGGTGTCCGGTCCCACGTCCAGCTGGTGGAGTCTGGAAGGTATGTGAAAAAGCCCGGAGACTCTCTCTGCCTCTCCTGCAAAGCCTCCAGGTTCACCTTCAGCAGCCATCTCATGGATTGGACCCGTCTGGCCCCTGGGAAGGGACTGGAGTGGGTCTCGGAAATTCAAGTCACCCCTATGATTCTGTCAAAGGGCGATTCACCATCTCCAGGGACAATCCCAACACAGTTTATTTGCAAATGAACAGCCTGAAGCCCGAGGACACCGCCCGGTATTACTGTGCAAGGCACAAAGTGAACCGAAACCTATAAATGATCATACAGAAACACCAGCTGCGGATTCCCCCTTATCCCATGGGCCGCATTGGGGCTGCAGATCTATAAACAAGACCCCACTGGGCGCAGGAATGGGAAGGGTCACCAGGCCAGGAATGAAGTCTGGTTTTATGTCTCTAATTCCCAGACAATATTCCCTCTTGTTGCCCATCGCTCCATAGTGTCCGTGCCGGGATTTTGAAAGGAAACTAATAGATTGAGGCAACTCTTTCTGATTCAAAAAATAACCCAGCGGAGACTGTCAGTTGGCCCCAGGGTCACTTATTAAGGACGTGTGTGAATGGGTGTGGGAATATTAATGGTAACAGGAGTGACTCTGAATTGTGATGGGAATGACAATTTGAGTGTCAGTGTGAAAGGTAATAGATACAGGAACATAGGTGGGAAAGCAAATATTTATTATTGTTGTCCCTCGGTATTCCAGCGGGAGGAGGGGATTTTGAAAGCCTTCATGACACAGCAGAACTTTCAGCATAAAAAGGAGAAAGTTACTGTCTACAATTTATTACTTTTCCTTCTTCTTCTTTCTTACTTATTAGTGGCAGTGGAGTAGCTGGTGGTTGTGGTCCTAGGGCTTACGGTCTCCAGTCATGGTCTGGGATCCCCTTGTCCAAGGTACGGTAGAAACACAGACCATAAGACCACTCTTTATCCCACTTAGTCGACAATTCTAGCATAAATGGGAAGTGGAGTGTGACTGGATATAGGAGTGTGAATATCAATCGTGATTAATAAATCTCCCTTCAGTGCTCCCTGAACCCTCCCTCGACTCTCCCCTAAAGAAAGAGTCCCAGGCACGCCGCTCTCGGCAGACTAATCTCAGGGAGGCTCAACTGGAAAACCTTAACTCTGTCCTCAGACTTCCCCACAGCTTCTCCCACCTGCACCCACAGGCGGACCCCCAGACTTGTTAAAAAGCATGAGCCAGGCTTGCTCAGATCACGTCCCTAGTGTCATGGATCATTTCAATGTAGCCGGTCACTGCTGGGAAGGGAAAGGGCCTTCCGTCCCAAATCCCTCCCAGCGTGATGGGAAATCTTCCCTCCCCAGTGGCTGTCCTAGCCCAAAGGATCCCTGGGACACGACCCCTCCCCAAACACCGACCCTACTGACAGTATGTTGCATGACCCCTTTGCGCATGGGACGGGGCTCCAAATATGAGTTCTCCCCCCACCCCGCATATCACTTGACAATAACCGGGCCCTCAGTTCTTGTGTGAGAAAATACAGTCACTGCAGGGAGCTGTTCATTCCTCCCAGGGGTCCAAAACTGTAAGAAGGACCCCAGCGCCCTGTGCCCAGCGCTGCACAGACAGACAGGACGGGACAGTCTGACTCCTGCATCCGGAGCCCTAGTGTAAGCAGGGGAATGGTCCCGCTCTTGTGGGGAACTTTCCTGGCTTCTGCACTACCCCTGAGAAATGGGCTAGTGGAAGGATCCGAGTCCTCGCTCCCACTTCCTTTACCCAGTGGCCTCCCTGCCCTTAAGAACTCCTCTTCCACTCTCCTGTCTGGCCGAGTCCTCGTAACCCCAACAAGGCTGGGCCCAGGATTCCTGGGGGGCTCGACCCTCAGCTCTGCTGTGGTCACTTAGGACAGGGGCTAGGGTGTCCCCACTCCGGGATGCTCTCTCTGCACTGGACACTACCTTGACCCACTGATCATTACATACCATTTAAAGTAAATACAAGTTATTTAATCAACAATTAATTTAAAAAAGAATAAGGAAAAATGGAAAAGGTTAAAGGAAAACCTGTCACCCCGCTCTGTGGCAGGGAACATCACAAACAGTTTCTCTGGACATCAGGGCAGTTCATACTCGGTGCCTTGTAGGTCCCAGGCCTCCTTCTCCGGCCCTGGCTGTTCTGCAGGGATGCTGTGGGTCGGACACTTGCTCTGGTGGTGGCCACACACCTCCGGGCTTTGGGCGGTGGGACCCTTCTTCCCAGCGTCAGCCCCCCACCGGGTTCAGATCCCCTTCCCAGTCTGGCCTGCCAGGACCCTTGGCTGGGGGTGTCTTTCTGCCCTGGGCCCTTTGCCAGGGTTCCCCCTTGGCTGGCCCCAGTTGCTCACCACACCCAGCTCCAGACTGCTCCAGCTCCAGCCCCAGCCCCACTGTTCGAGCTCCGGCTCCACTCGGCCTCAGCACGGCTGCTTCTGCTCTGCCTCCAGCCCCCTGGGCTGCTTCTCCGGCCCCACTGGCTCTGTGGCTGCAGGCCGGCTCCCAGCACAGGGTCTGCTCTCCCTGGGCTGCGTCTCTGTGGGTATGTCTACACTACGGAATTAGGTCGAATTTATAGAAGTCGGTTTTTTAGAAATCGGTTTTATATATTCGAGTGTGTGTGTCCCCACAGAAAATGCTCTAAGTGCATTCACTCGGCGGAGCGCTTCCACAGGACCGAGGCAAGCGTCGACTTCCGGAGCGTTGCACTGTGGGTAGCTGTCCCACAGTTCCCGCAGTCTCCGCTGCCCATTGGAATTCTGGGTTGAGATCCCAATGCCTGATGGGGCTAAAACATTGTCGCGGGTGGTTCTGGGTACATATCGTCAGGCCCCCGTTCCCTCCCTCCCTCTGTGAAAGCAAGGGCAGACAATCGTTTCGCGCCTTTTTTCCTGAGTTACCTGTGCAGATGCCATACCACGGCAAGCATGGAGCCCGCTCAGGTAACCGTCACCCTATGTCTCCTGGGTGCTGGCAGACATGGTACGGCATTGCTACACAGCAGCATCAACCCCTTGCCTTGTGGCAGCAGACGGTGCAGTACGACTGGTAGCCGTCATCGTCATGTCCGAGGTGCTTCTGGCCACATCGGCCAGAAGCGCCTGGGCAGACATGGGCGCAGGGACTAAATTTGGAGTGACTTGACCAGGTCATTCTCTTTAGTCCTGCAGTCAGTCCTATTGAACTGTCTTATGGTGAGCAGGCAGGCGATACAGATTGCTAGCAGTCCTACTGCATCATCTTCTGCCGGGCAGCCATGAGATGTGGATGGCTTGCAGTCCTTCTGCACCGTCTGCTGCAGGCCAAAGATGTAAAAGATAGATGGAGTGGATCAAAACAAGAAATAGACCAGATTTGTTTTGTACTCATTTGCTTCCCCCCCTCCCCCGTCTAGGGGACTCGTTCCTCTAGGTCACACTGCAGTCACTCACAGAGAAGGTGCAGCGAGGTAAATCTAGCCATGTATCAATCAGAGGCCAGGCTAACCTCCTTGTTCCAATAAGAACAATAACTTAGGTGCACCATTTCTTATTGGAACCCTCCGTGAAGTCCTGCCTGAAATACTCCTTGATGTAAAGCCACCCCCTTTGTTGATTTTAGCTCCCTGAAGCCAACCCTGTAAGCAGTGTCGTCAGTCGCCCCTCCCTCCGTCAGAGCAACGGCAGACAATCGTTCCGCGCCTTTTTTCTGTGCGGATGCCATACCAAGGCAAGCATGGAGGCCGCTCAGCTCACTTTGGCAATTAGGAGCACATTAAACACCACACGCATTATCCAGCAGTATATGCAGCACCAAAACCTGGCAGAGCGATACCGGGCGAGGAGGTGACGTCAGCGCGGTCACGTGAGTGAGCAGGACATGGACACAGATTTCTCTCAAAGCATGGGCCCTGCCAATGCATGCATCATGGTGCTAATGGGGCAGGTTCATGCCGTGGAATGCCGATTCTGGGAAACAAGCACAGACTGGTGGGACCGCATAGTGTTGCAGGTCTGGGACGATTCCCAGTGGCTGCAAAACTTTCGCATGCGTAAGGGCACTTTCATGGAACTTTGTGACTTGCTTTCCCCTGCTCTGAAGCGCATGAATACCAAGATGAGAGCAGCCCTCACAGTTGAGAAGCGAGTGGCGATAGCCCTGTGGAAGCTTGCAACGCCAGACAGCTACCGGTCAATTGGGAATCAATTTGGAGTGGGCAAATCTACTGTTGGGGCTGCTGTGATGCAAGTAGCCCGCGCAATCAAAGATCTGCTGATATCAAGGGTAGTGACCCTGGGAAATGTGCAGGTCATAGTGGATGGCTTTGCTGCAATGGGATTCCCTAACTGTGGTGGGGCCATAGACGGAACCCATATCCCTATCTTGGCACTGGAGCACCAAGCCACCGAGTACATAAACCGCAAGGGGTACTTTTCGATAGTGCTGCAAGCTCTGGTGGATCACAAGGGACGTTTCACCAACATCAACGTGGGATGGCCGGGAAAGGTACATGATGCTCGCATCTTCAGGAACTCTGGTCTGTTTCAAAAGCTGCAGGAAGGGACTTTATTCCCAGATCAGAAAATAACTGTTGGGGACGTTGAAATGCCTATATGTATCCTTGGGGACCCAGCCTCCCCTGAATGCCATGGCTCATGAAGCCGTACACAGGCAGCCTGGACAGTAGTCAGGAGCTGTTCAACTACAGGCTGAGCAAGTGCAGAATGGTGGTAGAGTGTGCATTTGGACGTTTAAAGGCGCGCTGGCGCAGTTTACTGACTCGCTTAGACCTCAGCGAAACCAATATTCCCAAGGTTATTACTGCTTGCTGTGCGCTCCACAATATCTGTGAGAGTAAGGGGGAGACATTTATGGCAGGGTGGGAGGTCGAGACAAATCGCCTGGCTGCTGGTTATGCGCAGCCAGGCACCAGGGCGGTTAGAAGAGCACAGGAGGGCGCAGTACGCGACAGAGAAGCTTAGAAAACCAGTTTCATGACTGGCCAGGCTACGGTGTGAAAGTTCTCTTTGTTTCTCCTTGATGAAACCCCCCGCCCATTGGTTCACTCAACTTCCCTGCAAGCTCACCCCCCCCCCCTCCCTTTAATCATTGCTTGCAGAGGCAATAAAGTCATTGTTGCTTCACATTCATGCATTCTTTATTCATTCATCACACAAATAGGGGGATGACTACCAAGGTAGCCCAGGAGGGGTGGTGGAGGAGGGAAGGAAAATGCCACACAGCACTTTAAAAGTTTACAGCTTTAAAATTTATTGAATGCTAGCCTTCTTTTTTTGGGAAATCCTCTGTGGCGGAGTGGCTGGTTGGCCGGTGGTCCCCCCACCGCGTTCTTGGGCGTCTGGGTGAGGAGGCTATGGAACTTGGGGAGGAGGGCGGTTGGTTACACAGGGGCTGTAGTGGCTGTCTGTGCTCCTGCTGCCTTTCCTGCAGCTCCACCATACGCTGGAGCATACTGGTTTGGTCCTCCAGCAGCCTCAGCATTGAATCCTGCCTCCTCTCATCATGCTGCCACCATATTTGAGCTTCAGCCCTGTCTTCAGCCCGCCACTTACTCTCTTCAGCCCGCCACCTCTCCTTCCGGTCATTTTGTGCTTTCCTGCACTCTGACATTGTCTGCCTCCACGCATTCGTCTGTGCTCTGTCAGTGTGGGAGGACAGCATGAGCTCAGAGAACATTTCATCACGAGTGCGTTTTTTTTTCTTTCTAATCTTCACTAGCCTCTGGGAAGGAGAAGATCCTGTGATCATTGAAACACATGCAGCTGGTGGAGAAAAAAAAAGGGACAGCAGTATTTAAAAAGACACATTTTATAAAACAGTGGCTACACTCTTTCAGGGTAAACCTTGCTGTTAACATTACATACATAGCACATGTGCTTTCATTACAAGGTTGCATTTTGCCTCCCCCCACCGCGTGGCTACCCCCTCAACCCTCCCCCCTCCCTGTGGCTAACAGCGGGGAACATTTCTGTTCAGCCGCAGGCAAACAGCTCAGTAGGAACGGGCTCCTCTGAATGTCCCCTGAAGAAAAGCACCCTATTTCAACCAGGAGACAATGAATGATATCTCACTCTCCTGAGGATAACACAGAGAGATAAAGAACGGATGTTGTTTGAACGCCAGCAAACATACACTGCAATGCTTTATTGTACAATGATTCCCGAGTACGTGTTACTGGCCTGGAGTGGTAAAGTGTCCTACCATGAAGGACGCAATAAGGCTGCCCTCCCCTCCCCAGAAACCTTTTGCAAAGGCTTTGGGAGTACATCCAGGAGAGCCGTGAATGCCAGGGCAAATTAATCCTTTCACATGCTTGCTTTTAAACCATGTATAGTATTTTAAAAGGTACACTCACCGGAGGTCCCTTCTCCGCCTGCCGGGTCCAGGAGGCAGCCTTGGGTGGGTTCGGGGGGTACTGGCTCCAGGTCCAGGGTGAGAAACAGTTCCTGGCTGTCGGGAAAACCGGTTTCTCTGCTTGCTTGCTGTGAGCTATCTACAACCTCCTCCTCCTCCTCCTCCTCCTCATCATCATCTTCTTTGTCCACAAAACCTGCTTTCGTGTTGCCTCCATCTCCATTGAAGGAGTCAAACAACACGGCTGGGGTAATGGTGGCTGAACCCCCTAAAATGGCATGCAGCTCATCATAGAAGCGGCATGTTTGGGGCTCTGACCCGGAGCGGCTGTTCGCCTCTGGTTTTCTGGTAGGCTTGCCTCAACTCCTTAAGTTTCACGCGGCACTGCTTCAGATCCCTGTTATGGCCTCTGTCCTTCATGCCCTGGGAGATTTTGACAAAGGTTTTGGCATTTCGAAAACTGGAACGGAGTTCTGATAGCACGGATTCCTCTCCCCATACAGCGATCAGATCCCGTACCTCCCGTTCGGTCCATGCTGGAGCTCTTTTGCGATTCTGGGACTCCATCATGGTCACCTGTGCTGATGAGCTCTGCATGGTCACCTGCAGCTTGCCACGCTGGCCAAACAGGAAAGGAGATTCAAAAGTTCGCAGTTCTTTTCCTGTGTACCTGGCCAGTGCATCTGAGTTGAGAGTGCTGTCCAGAGCGGTCACAATGGAGCACTCTGGGATAGCTCCCGGAGGCCAATACCATTGAATTGTGTCCACAGTACCCCAAATTCAACCTGACAAGGCCAATTTAAGCGCTAATCCACTTGTCAGGGGTGGAGTACGGAAATTGATTTTAAGAGCCCTTTAAGTCGAAATAAAGGGCTTCATTGTGTGGAGGGGTGCAGGTTTACATCGATTTAACGCTGCTAAATTCGACCTAAAGTCCTAGTGTAGACCAGGGCTGTGACTCTGCTCCCAGCTCTGACCTGCTTCCTGGGCTGCTTTTCGGCCCCTCTGGATCTGGCCCACCCCACGCCACCCTCCTGACTCCCTGATTAGCCCGCCCTGTCAATCAGGCTCAGAGGCTGAGGCTGACCTGGTGCACTGGCCTCTCCCCATTCTTTTGGTGCTGGGAGCTACCCAACCAAAACACCCCCACTGAAGGGTAGTAAGGGGACAACAGGCTCCTTAGACTAGGGCGAGTCAATCAGATCACTGGCAGGAGGAGTGTGTGTCTCTTATAAGGTGGGGGCATGCAAATGAGAGAGACAAGTTTCCTGTTTAAATCTGTGCCTCTCTGTGCCCAGGCTGCACCCGGAGACACAGTCCGCAGACCCCACTTCCAGTGCAGTTACCAGCCAGTCCCCTGAGAACTTTCCCCTCCAGCAGCAGGGAAAATGAGATTTTTGGTCCTTTTAATTTTTGCTGTAGCAGCTTTAGAAGGTGCGTTCCTTCCTCCAAATAACTGGCAGAGTTAGAAGAATATTGTGTTATCGCTATTTCTCTACTGATATTAATGGGCTGTCTTTATTCTCAGGTGTCCGGTCCCAGGTCCAGCTGGTGGAGTCCAGAGGGGTGTGTGAAAAAGCCAGAGACTCTCTCCACCTCTCCTGCAAAGCCTCCGGGTTCACCTTCAGCAGCTCCTGGATGGGCTGGGTCCGACAGGCTCCTGGCAAGGGACTAGAATGGGTCGCTCAGATAAACCCCGGTGGGAGTGATATACGCTCCCTTGATTCAGTGAAAGGCCGATTCATCATCTGCAGGGACGATTCCCAGAGTGAGCTGTATCTGTCCGACCTGAAAGCCGAGGACACTGCCCACTATTACTGTGCAATAGTGAAACCCCCTTCTCCTGGCAGCCATGCGGGGGCAGAAGTGACACACACCCTGCTTCGGGCTTAGGCAGGAGACCCGGCAACTGCGTGAATGCAACACAAACCTACCATTTGTTTAACACTCTTCTGCTACTCACACCTTTTTGTCAACTGTTTGAAATGGGCCATCCTGATGATCACTACAAAAGTTTTTTTTCTCCTGCTGATAATAGCCAACCTTAATTGATTTGTCTCGTTACAGTTGGTATGGCAACCCCCATCTTTTCATGTTCTCTGCATATATAGATCTCCCTACTGTATTTTCCACTCCAGGCATCCGATGAAGTGGGTTTTAGCCCATGAAAGCTTATGCGGAAATAAATATGTTAGTCTCTAAGGTGTCACAAGGACTCCTCGTTCTTTCTACCGTCAGTGTCTCCCTTTCCTTCCCAGAGCCCCGCTGAGCCTGCGGGGCACAGTTCCCTTGCTTCATCGGCAAACCCTAATCCAGAGTGAGTCTAATTTTGAGTCACTCTCTCCTCGGAGACCTGGCACGTTGGCTCTCCTGGGGCCCGTCTCAGTGTCAGACTCACAGGACAACCTCTGCCAGTGTACAGGAGACAAGCACATTGCGGGACTGATCCAGTGCCTGCCAGAGCCAATGGGATTTATCCCCCTGCCCTCATTGGGCTTTGCCTCACACCCAAGGGATGGAGCAAATTCCTCATGGGGCCAAACCCTCCTCTAGTGTAAAGTCACTGCAACCGCTTTCGGTGTACTCCAGTTACTCCTGATCGACACCAGGGAGGCTCTGGCCCTTTCAGCAAACTGGGACGTTTGGCTCTGGCCCTTTCAGCAAACTGGGACGTTTATTGCATTAAGGCAGCAGAAGGTGATTAGTTCATTATAACCGATGTGGGGCCCCTCACCGTGGCGTCTCCGCCCTTCACACGCTGTTATTGCCTTTATCCCCACAACGCCGCTGGGAGGCTGGGGAACTATCACAGTCCCGCTTTTGGCGTCCCTGGGTGGGCGACGAGGCTGCTATTTAGCCTTGCCTGGAACCCTCCTGGAGGTCGAGGATTGCGGCGAGAACCGACGCCCAGCGCGCACCAATGAGTTCATCGGGGGCCTCGGTGGAGACGCGATTTGATCGACCCCGGAGGGCACAACGGTGCAACGCACTCATATAGTGGAAAAGCAGTTGTGGTGGACGACGGTGAAGAACCGGTCCCTTAGACATGGGGGAGGAGCAGCTGCAGGCGACGGTGAGGAACCGGTCCCTTGGATAAGGTAGGAACCTTTTGAAATCCGGATTGTATGCACTGTTGGAACCTGGGGACGCCCAGAGTTACCCTGTAGGTATGGGACAGGGTCAGAGCTCGGGGGTTAGGGCACGGTGTACGCCCCTAGAGTGCATTCTAGCAAACTGGAAGGTATTTGGTGTGGATCCAATGACTAAGAGCCAATTAAAATGATTCTGTACAGTTGACTGGCCTCAATATCAACTAGAGGACCAGGAGTGGTGGCCACCAGGAGGGTCAACTAATTACAACACGATCCTCCAATTAGTTTTGTTTTGTCAGTGAATGGGTAAATGGAATGAACATTTGTATGCACATGTGTTTATGGCTTTAAGAAATAGCACAGAGCTGTAATTCTGCAGAGCTGTAATTTGACTCAGAGTGGTTCGGTCATAGCTAACGTTAGTCCCCAGACCCCCACCCCCACTGTAATGGCAGAGCCGGTGTCCCCTTCGGCCCCCACACCTCCACCTTATAAGGGTAGGATGCCTCGGGTTACAGAGATTGCCCCCTCGATGGGACTCTATCCTTTGCTTACCGAGACTGTTGTGGCTTGCCCAGGGGCAGACGGACGTCAGGCTACCACTTTGCAAGTTTTCACCCATGTGCCATTCAATCCCATAGACCTAGCAGCTTTTAAAACACAGACTGGGGAATTGTTAAGGGGAATCCCCTTAAGAAACAGTCCTTACTGGGACCTACAGGGTCACTATTTGGTATGTGGCTGAAAGGCTTACAAGGTGCTGCCTGCCTGGGGATATGGCACCGCCGGGACTTTCCAAAGCGGCTCGTTTGGATTGTTTTCACCCAACTGACCTGTGGCAATCGCAGCCCGGACTCTCCGCTGGCATCAGTGGGTGGGGCTGAGACGTCCCGACCTACAGGCAAGTTCCACGATTTCATAGCGTCGCCATGGAGATAAAAGACCCCGCCCCTCAGCCCTTGATGACATCACTCCGCCCGGGGCTGGCACTCAGGGCATTGGGGGAAGTCACGTGACTCGCAGGGCTGGATTAGCGTTTTGGGGGCCCCCCCTGGAGGCAGTGGAGCATGGTGAGGGACGTCAGTCCCCGGAGCGAGGGGCCGGCCAGAGGCAATGGCGCATGGCATGGCAGGGGCACTATTTACAAACCGGGAGTTGCCAGATGCACAGTGGCCCGCCTGGCCCTGTGCTGCCAGCCTGCCCCTTCCCCTTGGGGGCGGGCCCATGCTGTCGCACACAGCACCCCCGGCCAACACCAGAACATGCCCCCTCCCCCGATTCACTATGGCCAGAGCCCCCCCAGACTTGCTATGCCCAGCACCTCCCCTCATCACCCCCCACAAATCCACAGCCCCCTGCACAACACCACCCTTGCCCAGCGCCCCCCTGCCCACAACCCCAACACCAGGGCTGTCCTTAGGATTTATGGGGTCCTACGCAGCATTATTAAACTGGTGCCCCCATGCCCGAATTGGGGCACAGCCACCACCCCTGCCCACGGACCCCCCAGAAGAGCCCCCCACCCATTGCTGACACACACTGAGCTTCGTATGCAGCCCGGGCTCACAGCCTGGGCGGGAGGGACGAGGCACCAAAGGATACCGAGCCGCCCGCCCCGCCTCACAGTGCTGGAGAGTCACAGTTCCCCACAGAGACCCGCGTACCCCCCCAGTGCATTCGGCTCTGTGAATACGGGCCCTGCCTAAGGAGACTGCAGCGCGTGCTGGGTATGCGGGAGCCGACCCGCTCTTACCGGCTGTCCCGGTGGTTGCCCAAATTTCCGGGTGCCCTACGCAGCTGCGTATGCTAAGGACAGCCCTGCCCACCGCAGCTGCCCAGCACCCCCCACAGTACCTCCATTCCCTAGTGCCCCAACGCACACAGATCTTCCCCGTCCCCTCACAGCCCAGCACCCCCCAGAAACCCACTCCCCACCCCTGCCTCCCGGCCGCACTCACCGGCCCTGCTGGGAGGCGACTGTGTCTGCCGGGGTGAGCCGGCAGCGCAGCCAGGGCTGGTCCCGGGACGGGAAATCGCTCCAGCCCCTCGGGAGTGCCGCGATCAGCCAGGCCAGGGCCTGCTCCGCCTGGGCTCCCTCAGGACCCACGTGCCTGGAGGGGCCCAGGCAAGCCCCCCACACTGTCACTCCCCCCCACACACACCTGGCTGAGACTGGCCAGGCTTCTGCACCAGTCCCAGGCAGCTCATCTCTGGGGAGACAGGCCATACCTGGAGCCGGAGGTGCACAAGGGTCCAGCCAGCGGCAGAGAGGAGCAGGAGGGTGGGGCCAGGGGGCGGAGAGGAGCCCTTGGCTGGGCAGGGGGGAGCCAGCGGGCTGGCAGGGTCTTGGGGCGCAGTGAAAGCAGAGCAGGCCAGGGCCCCTTCTCAGCATGGGCCTGGCTCCATGGAGCCACTGGCGTCATTGTAATCCCGACACTGGTGACTAAGGGTTGTAGAAAGGAACGGGAAGGGATTCATTGGGATAGCTCAGCGAGAGGCGGCTGCTGAGGGAGAAGCAGAGGCATGTTGGTGGGGGGTCACGGGGGCACTAGGGTCACAGAACGCAGGTCCCACTGAATGAGATTTGTCCCAGGACTTCCCAAAGTCTTGTGTGACAGGTGACACAGAAACCTCCTTGTGCCAACTGGCACAAGGCACGGGGGTGATGGGGGAGTTTTACACGAATCCCCTGGGTCAAGTATATGCAGAAGAATTCACCGAAGGATGTCATAAGGTGTCTGCTGAGAGCCAGTAGTGATCATCATCTTTGTGTAATGTATGTAGGATCATATTTAAGGAGTGATGTATTTATACTGGAAATTATGTCTTCAAGCTTTTGAAGTCAAAGGCAGGTCACCAGGTGGTGACATGCCTCAGACAGGCTTTGTTCAGGCAGGGGGCAGCAGGTGCTTATCTCTCTGTCTGATCATTGTGCATCTCAGATGCACTGTGCATCTCAGAATGTAAGTTTATTTTCATATACAGCCACCAGCTAATCAAGATTGTGGCATCGACAAGAGACCGTGAAATCTACAAGAAGGAGCGCACAGTTTATGAACAAAGATCAAAGGACTGTTTTGAGATATCTGGGGTTGCAAAGAGACAGGCCGGATCCTTCTCCTAGGAAGCAAGCTGTGTGTTTGCCTATGAACAGAAGGTCACAGCCAAGCAGGCTGTAAATCGCTGTGAGGATCTTTGGGGGAGCAACCCTTAGTATTTGGTTAATTGCCTAGGCCCTCCGATATGTGCTGTGATTTTATTTTACATGTAACTTTTTGTTTCCAGTTACTCCTACTTGGTATTATTTGAAATCTACTCTTTGTTAAATAAATGTTTGCTTGCTTTCCCCCTAAGCAGCTCTAAGGGCTGTGTTTAAGGAGAGCGGTGATCTGAGGTATAACTGGCAAGCTGCGGGGTGCTGTTCCTTGGGAGAAAACACAGTGAGTGTCCAGTGCATCAGGGGGTCCATGCTGAAGATGCTTGGCAGGCTTGGGAGCTGGAGTGCACCTCTCGCTAACCTGCAGAGGGACAGTGGGGTCTGCACAGACTGAGGATTGACTGCTTGTGTCACCTGTGGCTGGTGGAGTTGGGGAGCTGACCCATGGCTAGCACAGGTGGCTCCCACACGGCAAGAGCAGAGGGTGGCAGGGTGTCTCCCAGCCCTGGGTATCCCCGGGAAGTGTCACAGTGGGGTTTGCCAGTGCTGGGGGAGCAGAATTTAGGAATTGTTTGGTGCATTCATCCTCACCCACCCTATGACTGAGAGCTCAGCTCCCCACACACACACCTATGATATGGATTTGCAGGGGAGAGAGAGGGGCGGGACCTGCCAGTTGGAGAGTAGGAAGAGGTCTGGATTAGAGCTGGAAAATGGGATTAAATTTGCAGTTTTTGGGGAAAAAAATTGCAGGATTTCCATTCTGAAATGGTGCCTCATACTCTGCTCTGGGGACCAGGCTCCCCATCTGGACATCGCCCACGAGGGACTGCCAGCTGCTCGCTTAGCAAGGGGAGGCCATGCATTATGGCAGTTGTATGACTATGGTGTATCATGGGAGCCTGACCAGGGCCTAGCCCAAAAGC